GAACTCATCTGGTGGAGGTGACTCTGACATGGGTATGCAGGACTTGCCTTTTCACTCCATTCTTCCAGCTTAAGCTTTATGTGACTTCCACCTGCAGATGTCCTRACCTAAATATGTTCAAATAATACAAATTCATATAAATCTGTGAATGTAAAACATATATAATAATTTGTTACCACAGAACTAGAAGATTGTTTGATTTTTTTTAATGTTGTATGTAGGACTGTCACATCTTYTTAACACTTCGTTTAAGAGATGAAAACCACATAATTATTGAGACAGTTGTTAAAACCTGACATTATTCTAACCAACTGTGTCTGTGATTTGCCTTGTATCAATACTACGTGTTTTCCTATTTGGAAAGGTGCCTTGAAAATGGTTTGTGTTTTCTTGGCCCTTATGATTATATGTTAAATGAATATAAAGAAATTTTAGTATAGTTCCAGTAATGAACACTGACACAGTGGAATATGATGCCAGAACCGTATTTTTGCCTTTTTCATTTGCAGTAGGGCTTCTAGTCATCTCTTAGTGATCATCAGTACTGAAAAACTTCATAAAATGTTGTGTTTTAATTGCAGCAACTGCTCAGCCAGGGACTGAAATATTCAATTTGCCAGCAGTCACTACCTCAGGTAAGTAATTCAATAAAAGAAACCCTGTATGTTTCAGAAAAAGGCAAAGTCTTAACTATCTTATATTTATACTCTTTGGCGAGCCTAGTAAAAGAGAAAAATGGTGAAAAATTAAAACCTGATATCCTGAAAATTTGTTTCCTGCACCATAAGGAAAAGCAAAATGACCAAATCTTTTCCCAYATCCCTTTGTAATTTCTTGGAGTTGCATTTTGTGCCTCCCTTCTCACCTTTCTCTGTGTTTTCTTTTCTCTCCCAGGTGCAGTCAGTTCTAGGGGTCACTCCTTTGCAGATCCTGCCAGTAATCTGGGTCTGGAAGACATTATTAGGAAAGCACTGATGGGAAACTTTGATGACAAGAGTGAGGAGCACGGGGTCGTGATGTCCCAACCTCTCGCGGTGGCTCCRGGCAGCTCCGGCGCCGCGGTACCAGCAAGTAACGAGACACGGAGGGAAGAAACCAATCCATCTCCAAATTCAGGTATTGCAATCCCCAAATATCCCATGGCCTTAAAGAAAATAAATTAATCAACGGTTTGAATAAATATGGTGTCACTGAAAATCACTTTGGAAGTGATAGAAGTGGTATTTGCATTTATCGTCCTGGCTTTTCCAGSAGCCTGTGACAGCATTGATGGAACAGGGTGGGTTGGATCCCTGAAGCTTGTCAGTGCTAGCTGATAATTTATGAAAACAAAACCACAGAGGTTAAAATGTGGTTGATGAAATCTGTCCCCGCTGTTCCCAGGTGGGGCAGTCAGCAAGCAGAAGCTCATCGGCAAGTCAAACAGTAGGAAGTCAAAGTCTCCAATTCCTGGGCAGGGGTATTTGGGAACTGAAAGACCTTCTTCAGTCTCATCTGTACATTCAGAAGGGGACTACCACAGACAGACTCCAGTGTGGGCCTGGGAAGACAGGCCCTCCTCAACAGGTGAGGAATGGGGTATTTGCTGAGAGCTCAGATATTGTACTGTAAYGCTGGATATTGGCCAGAAGTTTCCAGCATGTGGGGGTTTTCTGAAATGGATTTTCTGCCGGCTTTTACAAGCCAAGCCAGCACAGATCTCTCAGAACATCTCATGTTTTTGCCTCTTGATGCAGGTTCCACCCAGTTTCCGTACAACCCTCTGACCATGAGGATGCTGAGCAGCACCCCCCCGACCTCCATCGCCTGTGCGCCCCCGTCCATGAGCCAAGCAACCACTCACCCACAGAACAGGATCTGGGAGCGAGAGCCTGCACCACTGCTTTCAGCACAATATGAGACTCTGTCTGACAGTGATGACTGAACTATGCAGATTATTATTTTTTTTTTAATTTGCGGGTCAAAAAAAGAAATCTATTTTTGACTTGTGCCCAYAGAGACTTTCCAAGAGAGCAAGGGCCACACAATGAAGAATTGCTGGAGAGTCCGTGAAATGCCTTCTGCACAGGCTGTGTGTTGGAGGATTGTGGTCGAGAAGGTTGACTTACAAAAGATAAATATGTAAAGAGTTTTTAAAAATGTGGACTGTTCCTGCTCTACATCTATTTGTAAAGAAAACCATAATGTCTTTTAAATCATTCTTCTGTAAATAGAGAGTACTTTTTGCAGTGTTTTTTCCCTTGCTATAGTATCTGGTGTACTTATGTTCAAATCATTGCCTAAACTTTGGGGGTCATTTTGTAATTTTTTTTAAGCATTTTCTCCAGTGTAGAATACTCTTCATAACCCTAGCCTCCCTCTCAGCCTAGCCTAACCAGAACCCCAGCCTCCCAACCATCATTGCCCATTTAATGCCGTGCCACTTCCTGCAGGCATTGTGCTTTTATATAATTTTTTTTTCCCTAGACACACTTTCTCAGTGGTGTTCAAGCTCTTGTGAAAATGTTGATTTTTAAGACTGACCCCTTAGTGAATTCTGTACATTAACATACTCYGGTTCGCTGGAATAAGATGATATATTTCTTTGGAATTTTAAATTCTGCCACATTGTAAATTTTTGGTGCAGTTGGTTTTATTTAGCAACACTGCAGAAATATTATTGCATGGGTATGTTATGGTTCATTTTTAAAAGGTTAARGAAACAAAAAAAGAACAGCTTCTGGAGGCATACCTCACTGTTATGCACACTGGGAATTTTAACTGTGCCCTAAAAGCCTATTCTTAGTGTTCTCTGTTTCTGCATTGTATGCAGTCAAAACAGGCTACTAAATTTTACTGTCATATTTAACCACAGCAAATGGCTTTTCTGAACAGAGGCTCTGGGTGGGTTGATAAATCCTTTAAGAAGAAAAACCTCTACATCCCAAGTTTAAATAAAACAAAGTGCTTTTATAGAATAATTGAGCAACACAYGAGTCAACTACTTGGCTTCTGTTATAACCAGTTTGAAATAGGTACTGTGATTTTTACCTTCCTCCAATCTGATTTTAAAATCTTGATGTAATAATTATTTTGAMGTCTGCGTCCCAGTCCCTGTCCCTCTAAGCAAGCTTTTGGTGGAAGTCCTTACAAATGCTTGGCTTAACTCCTAAAGTGTGCAATACTTGTTAGGGTGATTTTTATTTTGAAATTGTATATGGTACTAGGAGAGTCTCCTTAATCATTCAACTATCAATGCTTGCTATGATATGCTTGTAGCTCATGTACACATTCATCTGGGCAGTAATATCACAGGGTGTCTGGACATCCATCTGCAAAAGCCATCTTCATTTTATGCTGCACTGACCTCAGGAAGTGAATTCAAATCTTCCGGGGTAGAAGGACTGATTCACAGATAGCACTGAGCTGGGGGATGGCGTGGTCTGTCAGATTCCAAACTGCTTTTGCATCTCATTGATCAACTGAGTCTTTGCCTTGGGATTATTTTCCAGTGAAAAATATTTTGGATTTTGCCGCTGTATTTRTGATGCGTTGTATGGAAGGTGTAATGCAGTGTGTAACCTTGAGTGGTGTGAGCTCTGCACCTATGGAGGGACTGTGATGGTCCTCTTACAAACAGGAAGAAGCACAGAACTATTTATCAATAGCAAATTTATTTTCAGTCCTTTAAGGAAAGCCTTTTTGCCCCAAGAGTGGGAAATGAAATTCCAAAGGAACACATTTGGAAACTTGACACTGTTGAAAATAGAGCTATTTTGCTACTTTTTTTAAACACTGCATCAGAGTAGATCAGTTGGCAGTCTTAAATCTCTTTGTAGTCTTTCTGTAAGAAAGATTTCTCATCCTCCCCTCCTTTACCCTTCTGGCTTGAAGCAGTGAAGTTTTCATCCTGTTTGTAGACCTGTGCTCTAATTTTAACTTCCTTTTTTGTTCCCACAGCAACATATACTGGAAAACGAGTTGATCTGCCCTTTTTGTAGATTTAAATTTGGAGTGGAGAGTTAAGTTCCATTCTTAAACTCACTTGTTCTCACTTTCTTAGTGTAACAAATACAATGTGAAAGAGGCATGTACAGACAAATGTCTTTGCTACCTGTACAGTAAGTATAGCATGTTCATTGCAAAGCTTCATGTTACTGCTGCAGCAGCAGCAAGATATCCAAAGTAGAATAGTCACTATCTCCTAAGATACAGCTTGAGTGGCATTTGCACATAAAATGTTGCTGCTTTTTCTGTTTGTTATCCGAATTTTAACTTCTCCAGTGTAAAAACCTCTCCAGAGCCTAAGTTAGGGTTTACCACGATTCCATTAATCTTCAAGTATGGAATTACATCTGCCCTGTTTCAAACAGGAAGGTGTTTGTAAGTCATGTTTACAAAGTGTAGTTTACTACAAATTTTTACCTGATTTCTGATCAGCGCTTTCACAATGCTTTCATCTTGATATGGTTCGTGATTCTGATATGAAATCATTTTAAGACTTGAAAAACCCATGCATCATAATTTCCACACAATGTCTTCACTAGACAGTGACTTCTGGATTCAGACCAATCAATAAAGGGGATCAGTTCTCCACTTGCTTTTCCTGTGTCTCCCTCTTGTTTTGCAGCATCAGGCAAAAGCCTGTTCCCAGAGGTGCTGCAGGGTTCCCAGGGAACACTGCTGCCCTCCAAGCTCTGCCAYTTCAAACCCCAAACCCAATGCTTCAGGGAAGGTTGGCTCCAATGTGCCAGAGCTGTATTTTTACTTCCTAGCTTACTGAGTGCAAAGCTGTGTATGTGACTGAAGTTTTCCAGCTTCAATGAACTTCTGCTCTAGAAAACCCGTGCACCTCCTCCTTTTAGCTCAAAGTTCAGCAGAGATGGAACTGCTACTGTAAGTAAATTAATAAAACTGTAATTACACTGAGGGTTGTACCAACCAGCTGAAGTTCTGACAACTGAGAGGTTAAAATTATGTTTGGTTAGTGACAGAATTAGTTCATTTTACTATTGTAACTAAACATGGATTTGGTAATTTCTGGTTTAATTCTCCTCTTTCTTTAACATCAGATTAAATTTCAGATTAATTCTCCTCTTTCTGGCAGGGCAGAACTGAGAAATCCTGTTGTCTAAAGCAGCTGTTCATACTTGATTCACATGAAGGCACAAAGCTGGGTTTGTACACACCATCYTTTCCAAAAGGAAGCTTCACCATTCTAGCACTGACCTATCCAAGATAGAACACCTTTGGCATCCCATGTGCTTTCCACTGGAGCCAAGAGTTTTATTTCTGACAACAGCTCTGTTGTGGTAACAGCTTCACCCCTCCTCTGAGAGGACAAGTTCTATCTTTGGATGCTAAATGAAGAAATTCAGTCGATCTTCAGGCAACCTGTTGGACAGGGAGCTACAGCTCTGTTGAAGTGCAGGTACAGCCTGGGAAATGCTCCACTGAAGTTTAAACACACTGAACTGATCAAAGTGTAGCCCCCTCTTGTGCTGCTCAGCTTGTAAAGAGTGAGACAATTCCTGTCCCTTCCTTTTTATGACTTGCTCTAGGACAGCCATGTTTTGAAACTGAACACTTCTGTGAAGTAGGTAGGAGTAGCAAATACTCCTTGACTAACCCAAAGGTATTAAYGCCAAACTTGCACTTAGGCAGCCAGAATTAAATCACTTAGCACAGTAGGTCTGTCAAACCACAGACTACACCACAAATTCACACCATTAAGATTTCACACCTTTATTTTGGGCTGTTAAGCAGTAGCAGCCCTTCCTCTTAAGCAGTCCTGAAACTCCTCATGGCTGTTTGGAGACCTGCACCAAGCTGGTCCCAGGCTCCCTGAGCTGACCAACCCTTGCTGCCTTCAGCCACCTCAAGGTTGGACTCCATGGCCAAACTTATTTGGAGCCTTTTCTCCTCTTGGCCAGCTCAGCTAGTTCCTCCTGGATATGCTGGACAGAAGCAGCATCTCCYTTCTGCTGTGCCTGCTTGAGAGCTTCTTTGTACACTTGTTTTGCTTGCAGGAAGTCTTCTGTAGCAAGAGGGAAAAGAGGCCTGGCTACCCAGTCCCATCACCCATTTTCAGAGCTCCCTGCTGAAGCTGATCTCTTGCAAAGGACAAGGACTAATTGGAACACATCAAGAACTAGGGAGGCCCAGGAAACACCCTGCCAGGCTGAGACTGTGAGAGCTGGAGAGCAACAGGGATGATGGGACATGGTGCTGCTTCAGCATTAAAATCTCATAGAAAAAGATCTCATGCATGTCTTCTGTCCTTGTGGAACCAGTTACTGGACACAAAGCACGTGGGAAACAATATCCCCTGGCAACCTTTTGGGTCAGGCTAAATTCAGTTTGTGAAAGCAATTCAAAGTGAGATCTATGTTTAAATTAAAACTAATAACCCAAAACCAGCACTATAGCTCAGCTCCACAATCCAGATCTCTGCAGTCAGACAAGCTCAGTGCCAGGCTGRGCATTTATTCACTGACCTTTGTGCATCAGGATTGCTGCCAGGTTACTGAGCACCATGTGCTCCTCAGGGTGCTGAGTGTCCTTTGCCAGCTTTGCTGCCTTCCTGACATAGGTGTGTGCCTCCTCATAGTGTCCCTGAGCATCCAGCACCGTCGCCAGATCATTCATCAGCACCACACTCTGCACCAGGAGAGAAAAGGGAAGCTGTGGAGCAGTCTGGGGCAGCAGAAGCACCACATTCATTCCCTGTCACACCAGTTAAAGCAGCATTTCCCAGAGAAGTTTTTAGTGAGGAAGTCTTGTATTTCTGTATTTGCATGCTCRTCCTTCCTGGCAGGGGAACAGCCTCATGCAGTGCTGGCCATGTCTGATGGCAGCAGAGTGCTCTAAGGCTGCCTCRTTCCCTCGAGATCAGCCTTTCCTTCCCCAGTGTCCAGCTGCTGCTGTGCAAATCACCTGTGGRTGAGTCTCTCCCTGAACCTCATTTGATATCTGCAAAGCCTTCTCATACATTTTCTGGGCTGCTGGGAGCTCGTTGATGGTCAGGAGGTATCGGGCATAGGAGTCCAGGCTCATCCCAAGCAGGAGCTGGGTGTTGGCCTTTTCTTCATCTGCAAACCGAGAGAAGTGATCACTGCCACAGGATCAAACATGAGCCTCCATCATACCAGAACAGGAAACTGGGGCAGTGTGAAAACAATGGACTGCCATGAGGGCAGCAATTACAGAAACAATATCAAATACAGGGAAATGGAGAAAAAGCAGAAGCCTTTGGCAGACAAGGCTGCCCACCTGATAAGACATCCTCAGACAAGTCCTTCTGCTTGGCAATCTTCTCCTCTAAGGTCAGGAYGCAGAACTGGTAGCCAGCTACGGCTAATTTGTGCCTGCAAAGTGCAAAGCAAAGCTGTTTCAAACCCTCATGAAAGAGCCTCTGCTTGGTCACCCCACCACAGCAAGGCTCAGATGAAAGCAGAAGACACCTTTTGCTGGGAACTCACTGTTTTTGAGCAGCGTAGATRCCGGCCAGCTTGAGGGACATCTCAAGGATGGCGTTGTCATCCTGCCAGCAGACACACAGCACAACTGTTACTCTTTTTATATCTCCCCAGAAACAYTACTTTGTCAGAGAGTTCAGACTTTGAATATCTGAATCTTGTTGCCTTGAGAGCTGCCATCTACTATGGTATTGCAAATTTCCAGTAAGAGGCATTACAGCACAAGAAATAGGCTGCAAGCTGGAAGCACTGAGTGTGGTWCCCAGCTCTTCATCTGAACATACCTCCTTTGTGTCCCCTGCGAGCATATAGCTCATAGTTGCTTTGTAGAGCTTTTCTGCCTGAAACGAGAATTTTGAAGAGGATTCTGAGGAATGATGGCATTTAAAACAAAGCAGAGGCTGACTATGTGGAGGGACCTGCCTCAAATTTGTCACATTTATACCACACCAAGACCAGACAGAAGTGAAAGGCTGACCAGAGCCCAATGATACTGAACCAGTGGATCTTTTTAGTTTTTTTTCTTGAGCAMTGCTGCAGCAGCCAGGCCTTTACCCTGTGTGAACCCAGATTCTCCTTGGAGCAGCCATCTCTGTGCTCAGCTGCATTTCACAGTAAGTATTCCTTTTCCTTGCACACCGTGTTGGAGCTCAAAATTTAACTGTGAGAGCATCTTTCTTAACCTGATGTGCTCACAGGACGGCAGCCCTGAGGGGATCATTCTGCTTTGCGCTGGGCTATCTCTGCCCCACAGTTCAGTCTGCAGCTTGTGCCAGCACCCCAAACCTTCGAGACCATGCACAAGGTGTCAACCTTTAAAGATTCAGAGAGAAAACCCAGAGTTACTCACATTGTCCAGCTGTCCCTGCATCAAGGCCACGTTCCCCATCTGGAAGAGAGGCAGAGAGCGCTGAAGCTCCACCGAGGCAGCGGGGACGACCCCCAGCTCCGCCGCTTTTCCTCCTCCCTCCCGCTGCTCCCCGAATGGAGCCCGGGCCCCGCTGCTCACCATGCTGTAGGTGTAGATGATGGCCTGCGTGTTGTGGTCCTGGTGYGCCCGCCGCAGGGCCTGGTGCAGGAGCCGCTCGGCCTCGGCCAGCTCGCCCTTGATGGCGCTGAGCTGAGGGGGCACCGGGGCCGGTCAGCGCCGGGGATTCCAGGGATGAATCCCGCCCCGGGCCCCGCGCCTCACCTTGGCTCGCTTCAGCAGCAGGATGATGGCATCCTCGCCGTCCTCCTCRTCGTCCCGCGGGAAGAGGGAGAGCCCTGCGGGGACAGGCCGGTGGGTGCCCGGGGCCGGGTGCGCGGTGCCCGGCGGCCGCCGCCCCTCTCACCTCCCAGGAAAGCCAGAGCAGCGCCGGCCGGCCGTGCCCAGCGCGGCCGCACCGCCCCCGCACTGCCGGGGCCGCTGTCCCCGCGGTGTCCCCGGTGTCCCCCTGTCCAGGCGGGCCGGGGCAGGACGGGGCGGCGCCGGGAGCACAGGCGGAACAGAGCCCGCGGCAGCGCCGCCGCCATCCCGAGCGGGCCCTTTAAGAGCGCGCGCGCGCGGCGTGTGACGTCAGCGCGGGCACGGGGCGCCGCCGTGACGTCACTCCCGGAGCGGGAAGAGCCCCGGGAGCGGGGCGGGAGCGGATCCCGCCGGGAGGAGACCGGGAACGGATCCCGCCGGGAAAAATCCCGGGAGCCCATCCCGCCCCTCCGCCAGCCCCGGGCAGGAGCGCCCCGGGCAGCGCCGGCTCCTCGGGACACCGGGGACACCGATGAGCGAGGGGCTGGAGCGTCTCCCTGACGAGGGAAGGCTGAGGGAGCTGAGGCGGCACAAAGGGGACCTCGCCCSTGTAAATACCTAAAGAGGGGTGGCTGAGGGCTGGGCCACGCTCTGCGTGTCCTGCAGCGGCACCAGAGGAACGGGCAGGCACTGACAGCCGGGAAATGCCGCCKGGACAGGAGGAACATCTTCCCTGGGCAGTGAGCGCTCCCTTCCACGGGTCTCAGAGAGACCCGTGTGTTTGTGAGGGATCCTGTGTCCCCAGAACGTGTTAAAAACACAGCATCCATGGTGACCCTAATGATCCCCCACTCGCTCCTGTGTCGTTTCCAGGGATGAATCCAGTGCCAGTGGAATGGACAGTAGTACCTTGCCAGCGGTAGCAGAAGAGCTTTTGAGAGAGATCAAAAAGGCTTTTCAGGARACCTCACACGGTACGTGAAGGATCCCAGCAGGCAGGGGCAGGAATGATGAGAGTCATTGGCCTCCCTTTTTTTACCTTTTTTACCCTGTTGTCTCAGGGGTGGCCTTCACTTTTATGTCCCTGTTTGTGACAACAGACGGGTGTGCAGCACAGATAAAAAGGAGCAGCCCCTTCTCGAAGCCAAATTAAAAAATCAGACCACTTTGAACGCTTCTTTTTGAATGTGACAGGGGTTAACGCTGCTTCTGAGAGCTTCTGGTGTACAGGATGACACTTTAAGGGTAATAAATCAATGCCTCAGGGCAGGAATTGTGCTGTGCCCTCTGCACTGTTTTATAGACTCACCAGCCCCAAAACTAGAGTCAGAAAGGGAAATTTCCCGAACKCGGTGCCTGACTGGCCGGCAGAGGGAGTGTGCTGGTGATCCCAGGGCCAGGAACAGCTTCCCGGTGCTTTAATGAAAGGAGCACAAGCCAGCAGTGAAATCCTGGCCAGTTCCAGCCGCTAGTTAAGAACAATTACCTTCACTGCACTGTGACCTGTGCTGAGAGAATATTAATGTTTGTGTTTACTGGGCGAGTTGCACAGAGTGGCCCTTCCTAAGGAAAAGGGTCTGTTGAAAGAATATTTTTAGCTGCACAAAACCCAAACAAATACGAGTTCAGATAAATCTGTCTGAGCACTATGTGGGAGTGAGGAATGGGCAGAAACTTCAAGTCTAAACTGACAGAATGACCCCAGTGACAGCTTTTTGGCACCCTTGCAGTGTGGCTCCTCTCAGGTTAGAGTAGATCCAGAATCTACATGTGACTTTTAAAAGAGCTTTCTAAATCCTGTTGTAAACTAAGTGAAAATAAAAAAGTTCACATTCGTTCTTAAAGCAGTAGAGTGGTGCTAAAGCACACAGTGAGACAGAGCTGTGGAGACAAACTGATGGATCCCTTTGCAGAACTGAATTCAAATAAAACTGKAAAATTCAAACCAACAGTGCCAGTCACTGAAAGCATTTGAAATTGTCAAATCAAAAGGTTTTTAAAGCCAAAAATCCAGATCTTCCAGTGGGATATGGAGACACAGTACACAGTGTCCCCTGGGTGATAACAGAAAGATCAGACTGGACAAGCAGAGCCTGAGCTGTCAGCTACAACAAACACACGGCTTTGCCTCAGTGTAACTTTCCATCTTCACAAAGAGTTCCAATAAATGAAGACACAATGTTTCAGTGGGCTSTGTTAAAAGCCATAAACCAGTGGCGCCCTGCAAGACTGTGCTGGGAAAAGAACAACATTTTTAAAGTTGTGATGCCAGAGTTCTCAACTCGTGCCAAGAGGGTTTCAGGGAAAATAATATATATGTATTTTTAACCAGCTTCTTAAAGTGACAGAGAAATATGTTGAGRCTTCGTGCCTTTTATTGTGTGCTTTTTAAAGTAGGATGTCATAAAAGAAAGTACTTCTGGGCTTCTGCATTTCTTTTTAAAATGAATCCCTGTGATTGCTGTGCTGGGTAAGTGCCTTAGCACTGCCATCATGGATCATTTTGCTGTTCCTTGTTGCTTTWTTGGTGTCTGGAGAGGATGGTGAGAGTGCTGCAGTCCTGTGTGGCCTCTGGGGGTATCTTGGGGAGACACTCACCCCACTGTGATGTTAAATTCTGCAAAATCACATTTCCTTTCTTTTCTGTTGCAGTGCCTGATGAGCTGCTGCTGGGGTGAGTGTCTTCAGTGTCAGTTCCAGCTCTCATCATGTGCTGCTGGTTTTCTCCTSTGCTTKACCAAGTGCTGCTGAAACACACAARTGCTGCGTGGTTTTGGTTGTAGTGGAGGTTCTGAAGGGCTTTTTTTTTCCCAGAGATTCATGAAATTATCTCTGTAGCACTGAMTCTCCTGTGATGACTTGCTCTAGTGTAAACCCAGGGTGTTTAACCTGAGCTCTGAGTGCAGCCTCAGATCTGGAAGGAGTTTGCTGTGACTGGACTGTTCCAGGGTGATTCATCCCTCTGCCTTCCTATCACTGTGAGCACCCTGAGCTCACTCCTGCTCTTTGAGTCATGGGCACGTGTGATAGACAGGCAGAAGTGTTCTTWTCATCACCCTGCACCAGGGAATTGTTAACCTGCAGATTGAGGGTTTTCTTGTTTAGAAGTCTCAGGTCAGCTTGGTCACCCTTGTGAATATTTCAGTCRTTCCCGAGCGGTGACCTAAGAGATCCAAGTTTCACAACTTCAGCCCTCACCAATTGGTGTTGAAGGTGGAGAAAAGGCACTGTCACAGTGAAAGAGACTTTTCAGATTCATCTTTGACCTTGTGTTCCTGCCTGCMAGGGGATGAGATCACCGAAAACCCTCCAGGCCTTAATGCCCTTGTGTTAAAGTTATCTGCCATAACACTTGTGGAAGGTGTTCTGCCTCCCTCACTCTCYTGGGACCACGGTGGCCTTTGATGGGTGGGGTTAGATTGAACAAACCTGAAAGCTTTTATTTTCGTTTCCTTCTCACCATGAAAGAAGAGAGGAGGAGAGAAATTCCCATGTTAAGTTTAATAATGGTTGGGTGGTAACTCTTGGCAGCCAGAATTCCATCAATTCCCTGTAACCATTAGCTCAGGAGTATTCTGATTAAATTTCCAAATCTTTTCCAAATCTCCTTGAATTTCCTGTGGGCATTTCCATTGAACTGATCAAATTAKGTACACAAGAAAAGAATTCCCTAAATTTGAAAGAGTTCCTGAAACTCACTGAACTCAGCCCCCTTGTAGTCCCAAACCTAATCATGAAGGAATGTCTTACGTTAAGCGTTCCCCCACCCACCTCCTCGCAGCCCTCAGATGGAGCCAGCCCTTTTTGCTTTGGGTTTGTGCAAGTTTTGGTCTTCCTGGAATCTGTCTGTCTGCTTGGCTGCTTATCAATGAGCTTGACTCACTCTGCCTTGCTGCGTCCTTCATGGACTTGGAAACTTTCCCCTTTCTCTTGGTCTCCTGCTCTTGTTCTGTGCTATCTTTTCATCACTGCTGATTCCCTTCTTGTTTACCCTTGGAGCCAATCTAGACTACACAGATTCTTCTCAGCRGATGAAAGGTCTGAAAAGTTAACTGAGTTGCCCTGAGCTCTTTGGAAACYTTCAGAGCTGCTGGATTCACAGGTCTGGAATGACTCTGAGGCCCATGAGCTGTGTGGACAAGAGGCTGAAGGTGCAGATATCCATATTTAATATACACGTTGTCACATATCCCTGCACCAGCAGGAGGTAAAATCCCCCTTGCAGGATGTGCAGAGATCCYCATCCCAAGCATTCCCTCATCCGTAAGTCCATCCCTGCCTGAAAGGGAAAGGGTTTTTAGGGAGAGTGGAGGGATGTAAGGCACGTGCTGCCCCGGRTGTTTATGTGCAATAACTTGGCTGTCTCTGAGCCCTGCTCGGACCTGGGTTACAGATGTAAAACTGATGCTATCTGGTGTCCCCATGTGCACTGGAGTGTCTTAAGTAATTCCCTGATGTTCTCCAGCTTCCTCCTGATGCAGTTTGGTGGGCAGAGAAAGGATTATTTATCTCTCAGTTGTGACCATGATCGAGGAGATGTGATCACTACAAAATGACTCAATCATTCCCCAGGGTTTGAACCGATTTCCTGGGGATGAGGAAGGAGCCCAGTTCCTGTCGCTCCAGGAGCTGTGTATCATCCTTTTTCCAAGGAGATATGTGGTCCATGCCTGGAGCTGGGATTCAGAACCAGCTGATCCAGGGATATTTTCACTTACTGCAACAAGAAAAAATGTTGAGGTCTGCAGTGGGGACCTGCTGGGTTCCACAGGGCTCATCTGTGCACTGAGCCTAAGCCAGGTGCTCTCCCTGTGTGCTGTGGCCTAACTGCAGACACCTCCTCTTCCAGGCTGAAGTTCATTTTTGGTCCATGTGCAGTCCCAGCTCTGGATTTGGTGGATCAGCGCTCTGTCACCCGACTCAGGTCCCCAAGTGGAAGGATTCTCTACCAGGTACCTACTCCTCTTTGCTTTCTGATGTTTTCCAGCTGCCATTTGAGCCTTGCACAGCGTGGATAAACACACAGACAGCACCAGTGTTTTACAAACTCCTGAAGTGACACTGGAGAGCAGCAGCCACAGGCTACAATTACAGCAGCACATTTCAGTACCATCTTCCTTRTGGCTCCCAGCCAGCCAGAGACAATTTATGTGTTTGTGGGCATCACAGCAAGGAGGAAGTTTTCCACGGATTGCTAATTTTGCTTTATTGCCCTCATCCTATCCAGCAGAGGAAGTTCTTCCTCTTGAGCAGTTGTACACAACGCGGTGTTATCTGCCATCGCTGCGTTCCTCTCCCCRATGAGCACCAAACCTCTTGACCCCTGCTTGGCAGAGGATCCTYCTGCCTGGGAGGAAGCAGCTCAGGCCAGACCCGTGGGTTTCGTTCTGGCTCACTGTAGGCGAGGCTGTGAATCACAGAAAGGTGTCCCTGAAATGGCATTTTGGGGAGAAGAACTCACCTCAGCCCTAAGATCACTCACAGCACAGTTCCCTGTTCTGTGGTCCCACAGCACTGGTGGCATCTCTTTTGGGACAATCTGTCCGTGCTGGGAGCCATTCACCAGCTGCATCCAGCCTGTGGCTCACGGAACCAGAGAGACCCTGCTGTGCCCTGGCYAAGCACTGGGAMCCCRTGCCCRTAAGATTTAGGTCAAGAAGTACCCAATTCCTTCTCCTCAGCACTTCAGACCCCCTCATCTAGCACAGCCCCTCCAGGGCTGGGCTGGTTCTGTGCTTTTCACCCACCAGAGGAGGGGGAATGTCTTTGCTCCCTGCTGCAGCAGCCAGGAGGAACATTTCCAAGTGTCCTCTCTGCAAAGGGCCTTTTCTCCTCCACTGGAGGCGCTTTGGGGTCGTGTAGGGTGAGAGGAGAGCTGTGAAGTCAGGCCTGGCTGATGGCACAAACCCTTTTCACGTGTTCAGAGCTTGCCTTGCTTGGTTTGCACACGGAGCCTTGATCACTTCTGGGGTCGAGGAGAGGACACAGCCCCTCCAGAGGGACGTGAATCATACACAGGGCTCGAGAACAGCCCTGGATTGCAGCTCAGGGCTTGGCTCTGGGTATTTGGTGAAGCCTGAGAAGCTTCCAGCATCCTTAGGCAGCAGCTGCCTTGCTGATGGATTGAATGTTCAAAGGCTTTTCCTTTTTTACTGCTGCTCATCTGGAAATGCCACTGGGCAGAGAATGGCCCCATCTTCCTTGCAGAGCTTTGGCAGGCTATGGCAGAACCTTGCTGGGCACCAATTAATATCTCCTGATATTAATAATTAATATCTCCTGATATAAATAATGGGCTCAGCTGGTGCACACTGACAGTGTCAGGACTGGGAGAGGGAGCCTCTGGTTCCCCTGTGGAGAAGGGACCYCTGGACAGGATGGTCAGGGCTAGTCAGCAGGAGTTACTCCAGGAAGCAGATTCCTGTGCCTCCAGCTGCATTCCTCCTTARTGGAGCTCCATTGCTGATTCAGGCCACGCTGATGAGTTCATTAACAGGAATCTGAGGAGATATTTTCTCCGGGGGTGTGAGGTTGGTCCCGTTGTGAAATTCCTCCTCATCACAGCTGTCTGAGATGCAAAGACAAAGAGCAGAGTCTTCCCTGAGGCCRCTGGCTGGAGCAGTGACAGGAACACGATCTGGGGTCATTGAACCTGAGCCCCTGGGTGGGGACATGGGAGTCACTGGCTCTTCACTGCTGTGTGGTGTAGAAATGTGTAGAGWTGTGCCCCAGTGTGTGACCGCAGGGAAAGGGACATCCCCGGCTGCCTGGACCCTGCACAATCATCCCTTTTAATCATCCCCTGGGAAATCAGCCCTGCCATTGGCACCCAGATGTGGTCGAGCAGGAATGTGAGGTGCTGCTTCCACTTGCAGCTGGGTCTGGAGAACCCTTTGAGGCCATGGGGCTGCTTCTCTTGTGAAACCTCTCTGGGTCATCGTAGCCAAATGTGAGCTGTTGATAATTCTGTATCACCCAGCACATCTCGGGTCCTGCTGCAGGGGAGGAAGGCTCTGCTCAGACAGGCCCTGCAGTGTGGGCAGCTCTTGCCCTCAGGAGCTGAGATKGGAGAAGAAAGAGCCCTCAGACAGATGAAAGCTGGGATTTGTCTCTCAATGCCTGGGCGTTAATGCTTCTCCTGTTTAACAGAGGAGCAGCACTGATGGAGAGTCCAAGGGCCGGACTCCTTGATTTAAATTATCCCAAGAGAGCCTGGATAATGCCTGCCCTGCTGCAGACTAAAGCCAAGCCTTGCCAGCCCAGGTCAGGCCTAAATCCCACAGGCTGCAGGGATGGTGGGGCTGTGCTGGATGTGGCAGAAGGGCGCAGTGTGGACCAGGCAGCATTTGGGGCACTCTTTAGCTCTGTCCAAGTGGCAGAAATGCTGAGATTTGAGAGTGAAGCAGAGCAGAGGCAGTGCCTTAGCCCTGCCAGCTGGCACTTGCACTGCTCACATCCTGYGCTTTTATTGGATTCTTCTTTTTTATTATGTCTTTTTTTGATCATTTCCTAGAACTGTATGGCAGATGCACAGGCTGTGGTGCTGCCTGTCTGTCCTTGCTGGGGCCTCAGCTGCCCCTCCTGTGCCCCCACACGCTGGCAGGGACACCACAGGGGGATTTTTGCTCACTGAGCAGCCAGAAAGCGCCCAGAGATGAGGACAGTGGAAGGAAATCTCACCTCAGAGCCAGGAGGGCACCCCAGTGCCTGGATGGGCTGCAGCTGGCCAGGAACAGAGGCACCTTTTTCTCCCAGTCTWTGGATTTTAGGTTTTGCCTTTTTAGGCAGAAGCTGTGTCCTTGCCATGTGGGTCAGGATGGGGGAAYGCTGAACTCAGCCCAAATCTGGCAGTGTCTGTCTGAGGCTTCCCCCCCTCCTCAAAGGAAAACACTTGGGAAGGAAAGGCACCATCGGAATACTTCATCTTGGAAAAAACAATCAAAGGGGCTCGAGGAAAACAAACTTATCACAAGTGAAACAAACTCAGCCTGCAGTAGAAGGAGGACCCAGGGTAAAGGCCAGACTGAAAAAAAAACAAAAAAAGGGAATGCGAGTCTTGTGTCCTGGATCTGCTGGGAGTGAGGGGGATTTCAAGGCTTTGGCATTTCTATGGGAGAGCCTAAACTTCTGAATGGACAAAGGGTGCAGGGAGAGCTCCAGGGACAGGAGAACACTCGCCTTGCAAGGGCAGCTCTGGCCCGTGATGGACAGCATTCATYTGGAGGGGCTTGGAATGCCAGGGGTGTCCTGGAGGGAGCAGCAGCCTGCAGAGCTCCACTGCTTTTTCCCGTTTTTGTGTTTATCTTTGGGTGCCACAAACCCAGCCTGAGGTGGGGGAAGGGTGTGATGTGCCCTCAAAGCCCAGTGCTGCTCTGTTCTGCTCCTGCAGATCTTTCCCTTGCTGTAGGTTGGGCTCTTAGTTTTCTAAAAGCTATTTTCCARTCTTGAAGAAACCAGAAGGGAAATAATAATCCAGAGGTTGTCTTTCCTACCTCCTGCAGTCAGCTCCAGCAGCTCACAGGCTGCTCCATGCTGGTCACAAATGCTTCCCTCACCTGTTTGCTGCACCCCACGCCCCTGGTACAGCCCCAGTGCCAGCCTTGCAGGGAGCAGCATGTGGGAAAARCAGGCAGTGCTGTTCCCAAACTGAGCTGGAGCAGGGAGGCTTCTCTGGAGASTTCAGCTTTGTTTATTCAGGCCGATCTGGATTCCAGTAGCTGCAGCTGCTTTTGGGAGCAGAACAACTTCAGAGGTTGGAAAAGGAGAGCACTTGCACTCCCTGCAAGTGCTCAGTGCTGCTCCCCTCCTGTCCCCAGCCCCGTGGTGGCTCTGGATGCACAACTGGGCTTGGTGTGACAGGAGAGCCTTTGTCCTCTCCACTGTCCTGAGCCTGCCAGTGCAGGACACTCCAGGTGACCTGCAGGTGACAGGAGGGGCTGGCACTTGCTGGGAGGGCAGGGAGTGCTGCCACGGCTCCTTTGGTGCTCCCTGGGCAGACAAATCCCTGGAGCTGGGATCTGCTGTGAGCACAGTGTAGGACACTTCCTCACCTGCAGGGAGAGGAGCTTGTAGAGACCATGGGAAACCTGAGGAGCTGCAAGTGTAGGTGGGTCACTGCAGTGTTTGGGGACACTTCTGTACTGTGACASCTCCTTGTCACTGCTGGGTCAGTCCAGACCCTGCCTGAGTCAGAGAAATTGAAATGAATCCTGCCTCTGACTCCTCATTTCTTTGGTTTCAGGTCCTTGGAAGCTCAGGCAAACTCTACACCTGCTACAGCTCCTGCCACTTCTGCACRTGTCCTGCCTTTGGGTTTTCTGTGCTGCAGAAGAACGAGAGCCTTCTGGTGAGTTCTGTGCCTCAAACTGGGACTGGGGACAAGGCTCAGCTCTGCTCCTTGAACCTGCAATTCCCAACAAGCATGAGTGTGGGCCTGACCCAGTGTGTGATTGGCCCGAGAGCCCAGGTTTTGGCTGCAGCCAGGCCTAGGAGGKGATTTTGTTGATAATGATGCATTACTTGAGAGATTGATAATCCCCAAGCTCTTGGGACAAATTCTGCCACTGCTGCCTGCCCCATGGGCTGTGGCTGGTGGGGTGGGGTGGGCTCAGGGGGTCTGCAGTGATGGGAGAGTGTCAGGAGCCACATCCCTGTATTGCACTGCCCTGGTGGCAGCTCTGGGGACACTGAGCACCCCTGTGCCAGGAGGGAACCCTGTTTCTGGGAGGGCTGAGCACTTCATCAAACACATTTTGGATTCCTGCTCCACGCAGAGCCTGACATCCCTGCTGTTACCTCTGCAGTGCAAACACATCCTGGCTGTCTACCTCAGCCGGGCCATGGGGGCCTGCCAGGAGCTGTCTGTGTCCGAGGAGCAGCTCGCAAACATCCTCCTGGCTGAGGAAGAGGATGAAGGATGAAGGATTTGGGYCACTCCTGGCTGTGCAGCTGGTGTTTTTACTATCTACAAGGCTGTCAAATGCTCATCGTGGCTGGTTTCCTCCTGTGCTGCAGCCAAGCATCACATTAATTAGCAGCCTGGCACTGATAAATTAATTAATGATTGTTAAGARGCCTGTGTTGACTTCAATTTCATTTATTTAGGCTGTTTTGGGATTTCTGAAGCTGTAATTGTGATGTGGGGATGCAGACAATCCACAGGTCTCAGTGATCCACAAATTACAGAGCTGCTSTGGCACTTTCAGGTGGCAGCTCAGAGCAAATTCTGATTCAACAGTGGCAAAGCTGCACCAGGGACAAGGGCAGGGAGCCCTCAGCACYCTGAGGCTGGTGACAGCTCTGTGCTTCACTGTTACAGGATCTTTGCAAGCATCATCCTGGTTGCTGTGCTTTAAATGGACCATTTTCAGACACTTTGACCACCTGAAGGCTGTGGTGTCTCCACACCAGCCCCGAGCTGGGAACCAGCTCCTTGCAGCTGTGATTCCCTGTCCTCCCCGAGTGCAGTGTGGTCTCATGTCCTGCACTTTGTGAACGCATCAACCACAAGAAATAACGGGGCACAGGCTGAGCCGGGGTGTGTGGCTGGTAAATGAAGCATTTTGTATGTAAATAACAGTTACTGCAAATACAAAATGTGAGCAACACCAGGAAAACACATCCACCTGTGAACATTAGAGCAGTGACAGCTGAATGGCCGCAGCTGTGCTCACTACACAAAGTTCCTCTGCCGTTTTTGCTTCACATTTTTATGGAAACCTTCAGAGGTTTTTATTGAGGGGGGTAAGGGAGGTGTCCTATTTTTATTCTGCCTTAAAATGTCTTTGGCTCAGATCCACAAAGGCCCAGTGCCCATGACCTGGGCCAGAGTTAATGCCCAACAACCCAATGGCCTGGCTGGACTAAGGATGCACCACGTCCATCTGCAGAATTCTGGCTCATGGGAGGCACAGAGAGGGAGCAGTGGTGGATTCTGAGCTGCACTGGAAGCTCTCACATGTGGACAAGTGTTGTGGGACTCTTTTTTTTGGTGTTACAGCCCTGAGAGTTTCACTCTGTTGCTKCTGGGAGAGTTTGGGTGGTTTTCAGCCAGCCAAAGGGAGAGATTACATCCTTTGTTGTGAGGATAAATGCGGCTTGCAACCACTTGGCAACGCTGCCAGAGCTGCAGGTGAAACCCTGCTCGTTTCCAGCTGTGATTAACAGRAGGAACTCGGCCAAAGATAACACAGAAGGGAAAGAATGAACGGGGRAGAGAGTCAGGCCCTGCCCAAATGGCAGGAGATGGCTCCCTGTGTCAGCTGGACYCTGCCCAAGGCAGATGCAGCAAAGCTCAATGGGACTGTAAAAGGAGGAGTGCTCGGGACGGGGACTTGAACTCCTCAGGTTCTTGTTGGGAATGCCCATGTCTGAGAGAGACAGAGCTGCAGCTAAATTTGAACATTGCATAAACATGTMCAAAGCCATTCAGAGCTCACGGGGGATTTCACCCAGGTTTGGGGCTGGCTCTCACAGCCGAGCTGCTGCAGTGGCAGTGAAATCCAGCACTCCCAGTGAGCCWTTCCCTGTGCGTGGTGGGCCCAAAGTCATTCCTGCAGCTGCTGTCTGCAGGTCTTGCCAGCTGGCAGAGGAAATGCTGCAGGAACAAGGTTTCTTCAGCTTTTCAACTGATTTTACGCTGTATTTGTTATTTYATATGCCAGAGAAATGAAACTCCTGTGGTCTTGTATTACCCYCCTTTTAGTGCAACACAGTTAAAAAAAATATAAAGTTGATTTCTGTGTGATTCAAGTACAATTTTTCAGGGACAAACTGCTCCAGGCATGGCAGTCTGTCCACTGGACCTGTTGCTCAGGAACTGGCTGTGTTTAACCTTCCTTCCCTGCAGCCTGGCTCTGGGAGCYCTGCTGCCTCTCTCTGCCTCCCTGCACGAGTTACTGCCACAACGTGGGTTTAATACTTTAATTCGTGCACTCCAGCCTCTCACCAGTTGCAGGATGATGCTGCTGGCACCGAGTGCTTCAGAGGGACCACAGCGAGGTGGTGGCAGGTCTGAGCTGGTCAGGAGCAGCTCCATCTCTGCTCTCACCATCACCTCGTTCTTCCCAGATTAACTCTCTGTTCTCTCTGCTTCTGTCCAGTCTGGGCTATCACAGTCACATGTTGAACTGTGCAGTAATTACTGAGCTGTGCTGGCAGAGTTATTAACCTGCAGTATAATTAAGAGTGCTCTGCTGCTCTGTGGGCTTTGGCCTTGCTCAGAGTGACAACCTGCAAGGGGAACTTCTTCCCCAGAGAGCTTGGCCAAGATCAGCTCACAAGCCAGGCCATTCTAGATCCTCACACACCATAGCTCCCTTCTGGTCTCTTTTTTGTTATTGATGCAGGCCAGGATCAGGAAAAATAAGRATCCCTCCCCTCAGTGCCTGGAATACAGATTCAGTTTCACACCAGCAACTGGGCTAAGTAAGACTTTTTCCCATCGGAGAATACAAGCTGCATCAAACAATTGATGGAATAATTAGGGTATTACCAAAGTGCTGTCAAGTATGGACTTGGAGAACAACTCAAAAAACAGACACAAAATTATTACTCCTAAATGAATAAAAATATTAAAAAATAATAATAATAATAATAATTAAAATAAAGATCCTATGACTTGACGTGAGCAGCACAATTGGGGAAACATCCCCCCAGCAGGTGAGTCTTTCCCAGTCAGTGTCCAACCTGGAAAGGAAACACCTGGAAAGGAAACAGGACAGGATCACAGSTCTCACACCCCCTGGGGTTACAGAGGAGGGTGAGCCGCACTCAGTGTCCCCGCTCAGGTCACTCCTCTACGAGGCACTACGTTAATTACAAAAATAAAAATCAAAACACAGCTGCACAACTGCATAGTGGTCATCTGTGAGCAGCCCCGTCGGAGCTCCTGGAGCCGCTCACAAGGGGAAGGGCAGTGCCAGGGATGGGCTGGGGACCCAGGGCCAGCAGGGGCAGGGTCATACGGTCACCGAGGCCACCGGGGAGTCGATGTTGATGACAGTCAAGTGCTGGTTGGTGTCCCCAGGGCACTTGGGGAAATCGTCACTCTTGCAGAGGATCTTGGAGAGGATCTTGCGGAAGGTGTAGCGGAAATCCCTGATCCTGTAGGCGTAGATGATGGGGTTGATGACGGAGTTGGCGTGGGAGAGGATGATGGCCACGTACATCACCCACTCGGGCTTGGATCTGGAGAACTCCTCGTGGAAGTGCGTGATGCAGTTCAAGATGTGCAGGGGCAGCCAGCAGAAGGCAAAAAGCCCCACGATGATGGCCAGAGACTTGGCCGCGTGCACCTCCTTCTGCAGGGTGGTCCTGGAGTTGCCCATCAGCTCGATCTGGTGCAGCTGCTTGCAGGCCACCATGAAGATCTTGATGTAGATGCCCAGCATGATGACGAGCGGGAGCAGCACRCAGCCGAAGAAGTTGAAGTAGACCATGTAGCTCATGGTCACCACGTTCTCAAAGAGGCACGAGATGAAGCAGCCGTGGTGCTCTGTGCCAGTGTCAGCCCCCGTCTCGTTGGTGGCGTTGGGACAGCCGCTCATGGCTTTGTTCCAGCCCATGAGTGGGGTCAGTCCGATCCCAAAGGACAGGAGCCACAGCACGGCGATCAGTCCCCTGGCCCGCTTGCCGGTCACCAGGCTGTTGTACCTGCARCCCCGGGACAAAAGCACAACAGATGTTACACCAATGAGCACTGTGACTCCCCTGCAATTAAAGTCATCAGTGTTTAGGCTAATGAGACAAAAGCCACGCCCACACCCATGCGGGGGCCTCACCTCTGTGATCACCTGAGGGGAAAAAAATCTCACCTGTGTTCTCCACCCGTGGCACAGTGATTTGGGGAGGTGACTCATTTACTATTCCTGAGAGGCGCCAGGCACTGCCCCAGCCCACAAACCCCTGCAAGGGGAGGGAAAGGACTTGGAGTCTTAAAAAAGGTTCTATCATTGCATGATCCTAAACCACCAACTGCTGGGAGGGCACGGACAGGGAGCCTCCCTCTGTGAGTGATGCCCTCTCTGGCTCTGAGCAGCTACTGCTGGGCACGTTGGGGCAGCTGCTGGGCCACACCAGCCCCTGGGCTGACCCCGTCCARCTGGGGCAGTGCTGGTGCTCAGTTCCACATGTCAGTCCCACTCGGGTTATGAAGAAGTTTCACTGTGGCCCAGGGACAGTCAGTGCAGAGCTGAGCCTTGTGCTGCCCCACACCTTCCTCACCCCACTGAGCCCCTGCACGGCCCCTCCGAGACACGAGCAGAGCTGGAACCTAAAGCAGCAGAAGCCAAAAGTCTGGTTTGGGTGCAGCCAGAGCAGAAGCCAAAATCAAAGCATCAGTGGGATCCCTCTGGAGATCGGAGGAACCAGCGAGTGCCAGAAGACAACATGAGAAACCCATTCCTGTCCTCTGCAGGGCCAGCCAGAGTCTGCTGGCTGACACACGTCCCTCCTTCCCACACCCTGCTCTCTGTGCTTGTTTACTCTGGCTTGGCTGCCCTGCTCCTCCTTTGCTAAGAACGTTTGTTCTGATTTTCTTCCGGCCCGTGAGGCAGGGGAGGGTTTTATTCCCACAGAACTGCAGCTGTGCCTGTGAATCACTGCACTGCCTCCGTGTGAGCTGAGCCTCCTGCTCCTCCTGCACAGGCAGGAGGGGACACTGGGGGCTGYCAGCACCAGCTGGGGGCACAGAAGGGCTGGGGGAGCCTTCAGTTTCTCTTTTTTTCTCTTTCAGGCACAACCTGGGCTGGCTGGGAGGGTGCAGGAGCAGCAGCCACATTTGGGCACTGCTGAATTGGGAACATAATCCATGGGTTGATGTCTAAAGGGCAGGTCCMGCCACTGAGGGGCTTCTCCTGCATTTTTCTCTCGCTATTATTAAGTTTCAATAGTTCAGAAGATGAGAAGTTCTCACAGCAGTGAGTCCAAGCCCTTTGCTTTTGAAACTCCCCATGAAGTTTCAGAAGCTGGAGCTTGTCTGGGGTTGTGAGACCTGAAATCATTGAGATTTGAGCAAGTTGACAGAAATCCAATCTCTTGGTGAAGTCCCAGTCTTGAGCTCCACCCTGGCCAAGTTCAGTCAGTGCTGCAGAGGCACCAGGAGCTGCTGCTGCCCCTCAGCTCTGCCCGTGGAAAGGGGAATCGGGCTTGATGTGCTCAKAGGATCTCTCCAGGTGCTCCATCCCAAAAACCACCATGGGGAGACTGGAAAATGCCAAAGGGCCCATGGTTCAGAAACAGAACCTGAAAGAGCAGAGGGTTTTGTGTGCTCAGGAGCGGGAGGAGCCGCTGTGGCCATGCCGAGGATCTCCCAGACTGGTAACATTCGGTGCTGCCTCTTGCTGAAAACATTTGACCCCAAATAAGGYTTCTTCCATCTGCTCTTCTCCTGAACTCTTTTGCAGAAATAAGGCTTGGCTTGAAGGTTTCCAGGACCAGTCCAGAAGCCCCTTCATGTTCCAGTGGCTGTACTGGTTTATTTTAGAGCTGCTCGCTCTTCCCAGTGCTCCCAGCGGAGCTGCAGCCAGGATTGTGGCACGTGCGTTTTTATATCTTTCTGTGAAAACATTCTGGATTCCCAGTCTGCRAGAGGCAGAGCTGAGCTGGAGGCCCAGGGGAGAGGTGGAGATGGTTATTCACAGAGAACAGCTGCCCTGCTCAGATTAGCTCTTTATTTCCCCAGAATTTGCTTTGCAAATCCCTCCYTCCATCTCTCCATTCAGCAGGTACTGATGGTGACCATGGCTGTGGCCAGCAAGAAGAGCTCAAGTGAAATTGGGAATAACCTGATGTCCTAGAATTGTTCATTAATTATCTTGTTATTACCTTAATACACTTGTATTTGGTGGGACACTGCCTGTATGGCCTTAAGTGAACACAAGTTAAGCACAGGCTTAAAAAAAAAAATTAATGAAATTAATGACTGTCACCAGATCTAGCCATGAAGAGTCTCACAACTCTTTAAACTCTTCCCTAATCTCTATAAAACGTGGTGAGACAAAGAAGAACCAACAGATTTTCACAGCTCAGATTTCTCCAGCAAACCCCTCCTTCATTCTCTTTTAGGCTTAATATTATTAGGTAAAAAAAAAAAAAAAAACAACCTATTAAAGTAAATTTACTCACCTAAGTCTGCTCAACTAATGTATAACAAATATTGAATCACCTCTGCGTTTCTGCCCGGAGGCATCAAATGTTGCTTTAATGTAAATAGCAGCTGAATATTTTTAAATGATTTATTGGGATTAAATCACCTGGCAATGCATTTAGTTCCTTTGACACCTCCAGGCAAAKCCTCTTTACTGGTGCAATCACCACRAAGKYTTTAATTAGCCCAGCTCCCTCCCCGTGGACACACGGGAGCCCCGATGGCACCGTGGGGTGAGCCAGGATTGTGTCCTGATGGATGGAGCTGTGACATTGGCCCCAATATCACTGTGGTGCTTTCAGGAGAGCTCAGCTGCTCTTGCAGTGTCACTCTGGGGCTGTCCCCTCTGTGCCCTCACCCCAAAGGGYCACAAAAGCTTCATCTGGGGCTCCRYGRCCCTGCCACTGAGGCTGCACGAGGTGTTCCCTGCTCCTGGTGGCCTCCTCCCCAAAAATGCAGAATTTTCCTGGGAGAGCACCCAGCAAACACCCAAAGGAGYGAGCTGCCCCTTGCTGTTGTAGGATGGTTGGGGTTTGGGTTTTCCTGCATTTCTGCTGTTTCCTGGGGCTGGGCAGCAGCCAAGGGCCCGGGCTGGCACTGAGCACAGCTGGCACGGAGCAGGACACGCTGCCAGCCCGGTCTCTCCCGGGCACGAGTTTGGCTCCTGAAAGGCAGGAACTGAGTCATGTCCTGCACGTCCCTGGCATCTGCCAGCACCCCTGCACTCACCCCTGAGCTCACCCCAGCCCTGAGCTCTGTCAAACAGGAGAAATTCAGCATTTGGGGTGATGGGGTTGGGRCAGGAACAGCAGCAGCCTGGAGGAAACACTCTGGGATGGGGCTGTTATTCCCACGTTTTTTATCTCAGAGAGCAGGAATGGGGCACAATCCTGCCCGGCCCCAAGCAGCCCTAAAGGATGGGCAGATCAAAGCCCTGTGTGCCACACAGGCWCTGTCCTGTCCCTCCATGTCCCTGTGCCAAAGCAGAGGCTGCTCCAGGGCTTTGGGCTGGTTCTCCCACAGCCTCCAGGGAGCAACTTCAGGGCTTAAACTCCAAACTCACACATGGCCTGTGCAGAGGGAGCCTGGGACTGGTGCTGCCCTGCTCCCTCCCCACTCTGCCCATTTGGAGCTGGGAGAGGAGCCCATGGAGTTTGCAGAACTGGGGCCAGGCAGGTGCTCTGCTGCAAACAAGCAATGACATTTATATATTTCTATTTTAAGTGTGAAGGGAAATGCACAGACACCTCCATTCACCAGGGGTGAGAACAGCTTGGCTGCCAAGCATTGTGTCCTTGTCACCTCCTCGCAGCTGTACTTTGCATTTGCTGCTTTTTTTTTTTTTTTTTTTTTTTTTTTAGCTATATTAATAATAATATAATATTTTTTTGAGCTGCCACTGTGCTCCACGCACAGCCACAGAACGGAGATCACACACCAGCTGAAACATCCTGGCAGAACATTTTAAATGCATCACAAATTGCACCTTAGAGAGGAGCGGGGAGGGAAAAAAAGAAATAAAAAGCCGTGCTGTTTAACCAGGAAGGAGTTGGCGGCGAGAGATCGGATCAGTGGTTATGCTATCAGCTGGGGAAGCAGGACATCTGCGTGTGTCCCTGTCCCGGGCCAGACAAATCACTTCCTCCCGCATCTGTCCCCATTGTGCGCGGGGACAGCAGCAGCGCTGCCACCTTCCGCTGTCACTGTCACCGCGCCAGCCCCGGCTCAGGTGAGCTCGCGGGTCAGGAGGCAGGAAAAGGAAAAAAAAACCCGGGTGGGCTTTACAGGCAGCCCTGGGGATGGCTCTRGGATCAGCCGGAGGGTGGAGGGGAACATTCTCTCCCTGCCCTGGGTCCCCCGTGTCCCCAGGCACGGCAGGTCCTGCCTGACAAACACCTGCAGGTTTAAAATCCGAGATTTTATTCACACCCACGGGTTTATCCCTCCTGTGAGCCCCTCCGTGCCCGGGGTGGGGACAGCGAGCTGGGAGAGGGGYTCATCCCCACACTCAGCCCTGCCACCACTGTCCCCACAACGGGAAAAGTGCGTTTTAGGCTAAAACCTACAAATTGCACACGGCTGGGTAATCCGGGGGATTAACACGGGAAATTGCAGGGGAGAACACTGCGAGGGACGGATCCGCGGCCCCGGCGAGGTGTGAGCGCCTCTGTCACGCCTCTCGCAGCAGCCCCGAGGGATCTGAGGTGATGTCTCGGTGTCTGTGTGTGTTCGGGGTGRGAAAATGTGACTGAAAGCTGAACTCAGACGCCGGCGGTGTGAGGGGGGCGGGCTGGGGCAAACAGAGGCGAGCAGAGCCCCGGAGAGCAGGAAGGAAATGAGCTCAACTCCCCCCGCACTCTGCTCTCACACTCCGGCATCCCCCGACATCCAAACATCAGCAAAAAAAAACCCCATCAGCTCCCCCAAAAACGTCCCAGCTCTGGCAGGAATGTGTGACACGGGTGTGACACCAGCACTGTGTCACCAAGGGGTGTCTGTGAGTCCT